ATAGTTCCCTACCTTAATGGAAAAACCACCAGTTGTTGCTCGGCCCTCACCGGGTTATGTCAAACGTTTTCTGAATCATGTGAGCGTAAGAGGACAAGGCATTGCACGAAAAAACGTCTTGAACTTGGCAAGCGTGCCGCAAATTTGCACGCATGCAACTCAAGGATAATGTTGCTGTAGGCGCAATCCCTTTAAGAGCATGTGCTTTCTCCACCGAGGCAGAAAATGTATGGGCGTCGGATGGGATGCTCGCTCGTCTCGTGGCTTCCGCGCTGCTGATGTTGCTGTCTGTGTCGCTCAGCGTCGGCTGCTCTCCCGGCGGAGAGCGAGCACCGCCGTCACCCCTGATGTGGCTGTCTGTGTCGCTCCCCGTCGGCTGCTCTCCTGGCAGAGAGCGAGCACCGCCGACACTCCTGATGTGGCTGTCTGTGTCGCTCCTCGTCGGCTGCTCCCCTGGCAGAGAGCGAGCACCGCCGACGCTCCTGACGTGGCTGTCTGTGTCGCTCCTCGTCGGCTGCTCCCCTGGCAGAGAGCGAACACCGCCGACGCTCCTGACGTGGCTGTCTGTGTCGCTCCTCGTCGGCTGCTCCCCTGGCAGAGAGCGAGCACCGCCGACGCTCCTGACGTGGCTGTCTGTGTCGCTCCCCGTCGGCTGCTCTCCTGGCAGAGACCGAACACCGCCGACGCTCCTGACGTGGCTGTCTGTGTCGCTCCTCGTCGACTGCTCTCCCGGCAAAGAGCGAGCACCACCGACACTCCTGATGTGGCTGTCTGTGTCGCTCCCCGTCGGCTGCTCTCCTGGCAGAGAGCGAGCACCGCCGACGCTCCTGATGTGGCTGTCTGTGTCTCTCCCCTCGGCTGCTCTCCCGGCGGAGAGCGAGCACCGCCGACACGGAAAGGTTTTTGTTGCAAAGGAAACCATCAGGGCATCTCCACGCTAACCACTGTTGCACGCGACGCGTTGTTTCCCACAAGTATTATCATTGACGTAAGCTATCAAGTTATCATGGCGGTAATTTGTGCGTTTCAGTGATTAGTGCTCTACAAATGCACCTATATTTAAGTGTAACGGTTTTCGTGACCCAGACAAGTGCACTTTTTACCGGATCCCTAATCATGCACTACGCTATTCGTGCTGATGGTTGGTTCACAGCTCACCAGCCAGATGCCTTGTATAACAGAAATACGCGCATGTCCCGTGCAAGACACGCGGGGAAGATCACGTCCAGGAACCGTTTGCCTGTGCTATTTCTTTTTATGAGTGCCCTGGACGAGTCTGTCTAGAAATCGGAACGATTGAGGTCAGTTCACCGCCTCCTGTCACGTGGTACGGCGGCGGGCCGCCGACCGTGGTCACGTGACAGGGTCGGCAGCCGGCCCGACGCGGCGCGGCCGGCTTGGCCAGCGCAGTTTCTCCTGAGCCGCTGACGGCGGCGGGTGGCCGGCGTGCTGCGCACGGGACTCTCCAGTCCTCAGCTCAAATGGTGAGTCGTCCGACGCTCTGACGCCTGGCTGTGTGCGGCACTGTGCCCCGTTGACCTTCCCTCCGACCTTCACGCGTAAGATATGTGGGCGCCGGGTTCCTGACGCAGATTCATGACGGAACTTAGTGGTGTATTTGTCCCGTGGGCTGGGTGGCCGGAAGGGTGGAGCTGCATGCTCAGTAGAGCAGTGCTCCGGCTGCGCTGGCGTGTTCCACACAATGGCGCATCAGTCGCCGGCCAGAGCGGCTCGGCCGCGAGACGAGGAGGACCGTCTTCAGACCGGCCGAGACTTCGCTCCGCGCACTCTGTCGAGGGCCCCATTTGGCAGTCAGCGTTCCGGTGGGCGCCGGCGGTGTGAGCGGTGCAGTGGCCTGTGGGAGCGTTTAACGCTCCGCAGAAGTTGACTGAACTCGCCGGCTGGTGGGAGCGGCAGTCAGTTCAGAGCCATGTGGCGTCTCCCGGTCGGGCCGGGCGGTGTCTCTCGGACGGACCGAACGGCATCTTTCGGACGGGTCGAGCAGTGTCTCTCGGTCGGACCGGGCGGCATCTCTCGGTCGGGCCGGGCGGTGTCTCTCGGACGGACCGAGCGGCATCTTTCTGACGGGTCGAGCAGTGTCTCTCGGTCGGACGGGGCGGCATCTTTCGGACGGGTCGAGCAGTGTCTCTCGGTCGGGCGGGGCGGCATCTCTCGGTCGGGCCGGGCGGTGTCTCTCGGACGGGCCGGGTGGTGTCTTTCGGTCGGGCCAGGCAGTCCTTGCCTGGTTAAAAGGAATTGTGTTCTAATTTAGCCTTTGACCCCGGTGTCAGCTGGTGCCTCGGAGATGATTGAGAAGAAGCAGTTTTCTTGACTTTTTAATATAGGCTCAAAATGTCTGCGAGGATTGACCATGCGTATGTCCAGGTAAACGCCGCGGGACGGATGCGCGGGCGACGTTCATGAGAGAAGCATCCTCCACAAAATACTGTACTCTGAGGATAGTCTGACCAGGAGTGATTACACCGAGGCGGTCTATGCCTTACTTTACCAGCCATTAGCCGAGCTGCTCAACAATGTCCGACGCCTCTATTTGGTCCGGATCGCCGAAAGTTCAGGGCCAAACTGCGTGTTTAGTTCGCTTTGCTTGCAGCGGAAAGCGCCCCGCTGTCTATCGGGACATGATCAGAAGATTTTCCCGGCCTTTATTGGAGGGCAGCATGATATTCGTCGTACGACTGGGTGCGCTATGCTATTGACGACGCAGACTGCCAAGCTGCCTGACAGGCTGACAGACTGACAGACTACAGACTGACAGACTGACAGACTGACGGCTGCCACGGCGTTGCCGCCACGCTCTGTCTGCCCATGACGTCAGCGTCGCGGCCGGTCCAGATGTGACGGTGGCTGGATTCCCAGCCTTGTCACGGTAGAAAGCAGCTGTGTCAGCAGTCGGTCAGGCTCGCTCCAAGTCAGTCACGACTTGGCTGGCCGCTCGAACCACGTGTCTCCGGTCTCCGGAGGCCTGCGGCGGTAGCGTCGGGACGGCTGACAGCCGCCGCGTTTACACGCTCTGAGCAGGCGCAGGTCACACCCGCCACGCCCGCTCCGGCGCCCTCGGTGGGTGGACGGAAGACCCTGCCAGATACCAGGGGAGACGATTATATGACGGCACAGCTCTGATCGAGGGCATACGCTGACCGACGCTCGCTGGACGTGTGACCGGACGGGGATGCTTATCGAAAGTGTGGCCCGACCGGGCTCCCAGAAGACATGTGATCCGATCGGGCTCCCAGAAGGCGTGTGACCGGACGGGGATGCTTATCGAACGTGTGGTCTGACCGGGCTCCCGGAAGACGGGTGATCTGATCGGGCTCCCAGAAGACGTGTGATCTGATCAGGCTCCTGGAAGATGTTTGATCTGACCGGGCTCCCAGAGCACGTGAGGTCTGATCGGGCTCCCAATGGACGTGTGATCTGACCTAGCTCCCAGTGAACAAGCCACCTCGCCAAACACCCGGCGGATGTGTGACCGAGTGAGAACGCGGTGGACGCGTGACCTGACAGAGGGCTGAACGGACTTGCCGCCTCTCGACGAGGTACTCGACGGACGCGTCAGTCGGCTGAATACTCGGTGAACTCGCGACTTGACGTGTGACGTGGCCTAGCGTCCAGCGGACGTTGGACGTGGCCGAGTGCTCGGTGGCCGCGCCACCTGACCGTGTTCCTTGCGCCGGACCGGCCGCGGCGGGCGCGCCGGCCTGGAATCGAGGGCAGCGTTGCCGCTCGGCGCGTCCGCCTTGCGAAGTGGGGCGCGACGCCGGTGCGCCGCCGCCGCCGCCGCCACGCGCGACGCCGGCCGGCTGTCGCCGTCGCGTGTCACCGGCGCCGGTGGTGGTCGCTGCGCCCGCGTGTCACTGCCGGTGGTGATCATCGCCGCGTCCGTGGTCAGCCCGGCCGAGCGGCACTAACGGCGACGGCGTCTCCGCAGGACTGTCTCTCTCGCCCGACGAGCCGGGCTCCTACCTGGCCGCCTTCAACCGACAGCGCCCCAAGGCCAAGGACCTCGCCAAGTATGGCTACGCCAGTCTGCATACCAGCCGACTCATCTCGAAAAGGTTAGTGACGGCCAAGGCGCCGCTGGTCACCAGCGCCGTGGTGGCTCTCACTAGAGCTCGGATGTCCGCGGTCAGCTGTTTCTATGGGATCACGTCAGGTGTGGTCTGATCTCGGATCTGATCTCCCTTTGAAGCGTGCTCCCGGACCTGCGGCTGTTCGCACTCGCAGAGTGCCGGCCATTCAGTAAGGCAGCTCTGTGAGGCTGCTTGACTCCGTGGTGCGCATTTGAACTCTGGCATGTGGTGGAGATTCTGGGGTCCCGTTGTGATAATACGTGAGGTGGCTATGACCCCCGCCAGCCGCTCGAGAAATGATTAATCGCGTGGTGCCAGCCATCTGATTATGGAGGATTGTTATGAATGCAAATGGCTTCCCGAAATTATGCCCACGGCAATGGGCAATTTAACGGTTCCAAATACGAACTCGCTGGCCACATCTGGCTCAGGATGTAGACCATCTGTCTTGGACCGGGGCAGATCACTGTGGTATCAATTCAAGATGCTACCCACAATTGCGTTAAGACTAGGGAATACTACCTCTGTCAGTCAATGTATTCCAGAACGGGTTTGTTATGGGCTGACTATTGTCATGGCAGCGCATGTTGAATTCCCCAGGTCATGCCCCTCCAGGCAATTCCTTTTGCCTTTCCAAAGTGTGAACACCCTTCTCGTTTTGATGAAAGCCACGCAGTAAGGAGGACAGTTGAATTCACCAGCCCGTTGGTTTACGGTCTCCAGCGCACCTCGCTCCTCACCTTTCCACCCTTGTCGGGCCGCCGTTGAAGTGGGTCACGTTTACCGGTCTACATCCGGCTCCGTTCCTGACCTACTGGAAGAGGCACGTGCTGCAGCGCTCCGCCCCAGCCGTCGGCGCAAATGACCGGTCCCTTGACCGGTGCCAGCTCACCGCCGCCCGAGCGGTCACACGGGCACCGCGGCCTCACGCTCCGCCGATATGGGCCACTCGCCGGCGATGGGCTGGGGCGGTGATAAAGGACTTGACACGGGAGCGTCGGGCCGTGGGAGCTGCTCGTCCGACGCGGGGCGTGGCCGGCGCGGCAAGGCCGGCACCGGCCAGTGGTCAGAGTCTCGGGCCGAACAGCTCGGTCGCAGGGGTCACTGACCTCGGCTGTCGGCTCCGTGACCGAATCGGCCGGCGCGAGCACAGGCGCCGACCGGTGGCGTATAGCTGAGCCCGACTGCGGACGGCTGTGAAGGAGTGCCGGGAAAGGCCTGGTGCGCGCTGCACGGGGCGCTCTGCGACACCGGTCCCTTAGCCGCGACCGGGCCGCTCGCTGACGCTGGTTCAGCCGTTTAGAGATCCTCTTACTGATCAGCGCGAGCGCAGCCGTCTGTCGGCACCTTATGGATTGGCGCCGCATGCATGACTGGTTCCGTTAGCGGCCGGCAGAGACGAGGGCACGGCTGCCAGCTCTGCGCGCAGGCTGCAGGCGTCACGCACGGCTGCCGGGCTGCCGGCCTCCTCCCAGAAGGCGGCTGCCCAGATGTGGGCGGCTGGGTGCCGGTCGCGCTGAGCCAATGACGGGACTGACAGAATCAAGCCAGACACACTGACACAGCTTGTAGCGGTACTGAAAAGCCTTATATCCAAGTGATTTACCCGCCAGCTTCTTCGGTACCGACTTCTGCAGTGTCTCAGTACCATCCTGTAGTGACATAAGCGCCGTTCAAAAGGGCTGGGGGGTAATATGTAAGTTTTGTTTTCCAAAGCGATGGAGAGAAGTTGAAAGAGACAATTCGTATGCAGCCGGCTGCGTTTCATTTGTCACCCCGACGCTGTCCTGTACATTACATACTCATAGCCCACAGGGGGGTGTATCACCAATTAATCACGCATTTTAAAACGCATGCCAGGCCATTGAGGCGGCCGGCACCCTGGTCGGTCAGTTTGCAGGCTGGGGCTGAGGACGCCAGCTGCTTGTCTCACAACCGCCATGTCGGTCCCCCTCTCGCGGACACCTGAGGACCGGAGTCCGAGAGTCCGAGAGAGAGTCCGCCGGGCGTCCCTCTGACGGTCGCCGCCCTCGCCAGGTACAACCTGGCCCGCCAGCACATGGTGCAGGCTGCAGGAGGTGTCGGTGCGCGGCACGGGCCTCTACGACGGCTGCCCGACCAAGTCGAGAGCCGGAGCCGGGCGTGTGTCCGCCGCTGTCGGTTTACTTCAGGTGGGTGCCGCCCCGCGCCGGCAAGCTGCAGGCGGTGGGCCCCGCTCGCCGGGGCCGGGATGCAGGGCTAGAGCGAAGTGGAGGTGGAGGTCTGTGTTGCCGCCAGCGCCGTTTGTTGGTGGCGTGAGGCAAGGCAAAGGTGTGAATAGTGACGTTTTAGGCGATTGGTACAAGTTGCGTACTGTTAAATAAAGAGGCGCATTGCTTGTTTGGTATTGTCGACAAATGTTGGGAATGAATTGCGCGCTCGCGCGTTGGTCAATCTCTATGGACGTTACAAGTAGATAACGGTTTCAGGACGGCCGATGGCAGTTGTAACAACGCTAACAGCAGGTACCTGGGAGCCGCCATGACAACCGTTCTCCAGATTCTTGCCACCACGATACAATGATGGTACGTAAATGCACAAGCGGGGTTTTTACTTCGTTTCTGTTTGGATCACTTTGTTGTGGCACATGATTGTCATAACATAATTACATTGTCAAAAGGCAGGTTGCTTGGTTTCCCTGTTCCCGGCAACCGAATCGGCCTTCATATTGCTGTAGCTGCTGTCATTCAGCGGACTGTAGATTGCGGCGCCGCTGTGTCTGGGATCATTGTTGCTGCTGTGTCTGGTGCCGCTGTGTGTGGCGCGCCTCTATGTTGGCGCTTATTGTGGCGCCGCTGTGCGGCGCTGCTGTGTGTGGCGCCGCTGTGTGTGGTTCTGCTGTATGTGGTGCTTATATGGCACCGCTGTGTGCGGTGCTGCTGTATATGGCGCTAATGTGGCGCCGCTGTGTGTGGCGCTGCTGTGTGTGGCGCCGCTGTGTGTGGTGCTGCTGTATGTGGCGCTTATATGGCGTTTCTGTGTGTGGCGCTGCTGTGTGTGGTGCTTATATGGCACCGCTGTGTGTGGTGTTGCTGTATGTGGCGCTTCTGAGGCGCCGCCGTTGTGTGGTGCTGCTGTGTGTGGGCGCCGCTGTATGTGGCCCTGCTGTGCGTGGCGAGTGTGACAGCAGGCGGTCGGCGTGTTTGGCAGGCGTCCAGACACCCCGCCGCTCTGTGGCCGATGGTGAGCCGCTGCCGTCGCCCCCGAGACGTCAGCATGACCGTCCACCGCGACGTCAACCTCACCTCCACGCGCATCACCATGATGGTCATGCAGTGGGGCCAGTTCATGGACCACGATCTCACCTGTGAGTTACCACGAGCGTCACACGACGCCAGGAAAAGGCAACGCTGCCGACTTAAAACATTGATTGAGACGTGCCTTGATCCAAGGCACGTCTGCGAGTTTGTCCTCGCTCTCACCATGGCTAGCGTTAACTCGCAAGTAATACAGCTAGATGTTGGATGCACCTTGGAAAAATGTTTGTGATTCAGAGCCTCATCCTAGCACTGTGTCACGTTTGGTGCGCTGTGATAGCTCCCACCGTCTCCCTCTCTGATCCTGGCCGGTACGCTGTGATGGCTCCAGCCGGCTCCTCGCTGACCCCGGCCGGTACGCTGTGATGGCTCCAGCCGGCTCCTCGCTGACCCCGGCCGGTGCGCTGTGATGGCTCCAGCCGGCTCCTCGCGGACCCCGGCCGGTACGCTGTGATGGCTCCAGCCGGCTTCCTCGCTGACCCCGGCCGGTACGCTGTGATGGCTCCCACTGTCTCCCCCCTGACCCCGGCCGGTACGTCTGTGATGGCTCCAGCCGGCTCCTCCCTAATCCTGCCTGGTACGCTGCGATGGCTCCAGCCGGCTCCTCGCTGACCCCGGTCGCGGGATTGCAGCGTCGGCGCAGGCGCGGGGCTTCAACGGCTCTGTGCCGCGGTGCTGCCAGGACGGCCGCGAGCTGTGCCGGCCGACCGGCGCCACCCAGACTGCATGCCCATCAGCATACCCAAATACGACCCGTTTTACTCCAAGTATAACCAGTCCTGCATGGAGTTCGTCAGGTACGTTGCACCGTGCGAGTGATCTTTTGGTTGATATCGGGGAAGGGGGGGGGGGGGCGCTTGGGAGGGCTGTGCGCAATAGGAATTTTCAGCACAGAAATAAAGAAGGAAACAGGTTTGCACTCGCTTCACGCAAATGGATGCATTTTCTGATTGCATCAAATCGCTCTTGAATAAATTCCTTTCCATTTGAGTCGCGCACTGGAGCCGCTGATGTCTGCCTGACCGGACGTCTTGCTTCGCCCGGCTGTACATGTATGAGGTGTGTGGCACCGGCTCCGCCCATCCGGGTCGGGCTGGCCTGTAGCGTGTGCTGCGGCGGCAGGTCGTCTCCGGCGCCCCGGCCAGACTGTACGCTGGGACCCCGTGACCAGATCAACCAGATCACATCCTTCCTAGACGCCAGCAACGTGTATGGCTCGTCTGACGAGGGAAATGAACCAGCTGCGGCTCTTCTCTGGCGGTAAGGACGTGTCTGGGTCGTACTTGGGGTGACTGGACAAACCCCGCCGCGTAGATAGCAGCACCGCCAGCCAGATGGAGACCGAGTCTGGCGATCAGAGGCTGCTGAGTCATTGAGGACGTCGTGAACGCGGAAGCCAGCGGACTTGAAGTGTTTGCGCCGGCTGGTAAATCAAGGTGGACAGAAGTGAACACTGTCATAGGGTGAAGTAGCACCGAATCGAACTGCGCATCGTATGACGTTATCCAGAGGCACATTCTGCGCGCGGAGCAGCGGTGTCGTCATCACTCTGCGCGTGCTTCCTACAGTGACGTCATCATCCGGCGCGTGCTAGTGCTTGGTGAGCTTGCTGACGTGTGTGCCTGGGGTCGGCAGGCATGCTGAGGTACACCCATCTGCGGTACCGGAAGCCGCTGCTTCCGCCCGGCGACGTCAATGTCCACTCCGAGTGTCGCATGACCAGCGACAACCTCCACTGCTTCACGGCCGGGGATGACCGGGTCAACGAACAGCCGGGTCAGTATTGACGTGCAACCATACACCAACTTTTTACCTGCGCTCTTCATGGTGGGCACGCACTGTAGTTGCCCAATGTCGGATATGCGTATGTCCGGAATGTCGTTGTTGCCTGTTTTCATATCCCGGAGCAACCTCTTTATCACGGCGGAGAAAGTTGCTACGAGCGTAGTGGGTGGTGAGTTGCCGGCAAATTGGGGTGCTGGTTTGCCAGATATGCCATGCCCCTCTGTTAACCTGAAACGGTGTCGCGTGGGTCGTTTTGATTCCCAGTCCAGTTTATTTGGAACATAAACTTCCGGTAACTCACCCCTGTGCTGACGTGCATCCGGTCATCTCAACATGCAAGTCACTGCCACAGGCGAACTGGCGTACACCCAGCCCATTCCTTAATTGGGAATAGTTAGTCCCAATTAGTCCGTGCAGCGCACAGCAGCAAAAAGTCGTTGGTAGATGACGACTGCCGTCTTCCACGCGACGGCCGCTGCTGGCCGGAAGCCGTCTTCGTGCCGGGACTAGGGAGCCGGGAGGGTCGCTCACTCCGGCCTGGATGTGGGTCAATCGTTCCGCCCGGCGCTCGGCCGTTCCTCCTCATTCCCCCCCCCCCCCCTCTGACGCGGGTCACGGAGGGTGACGGCCCCGACCCGACTGACCAGTCTCGTGCAGAGGCCGGAGAACTGGCAGCGTGGTGGTGCGAGCGGGGCCAGGCCGGGTCAGACAGGATCGTGGTTGTAGCGGGACCCGTTGTAATACTTGCCCAGTTTCATGGTTCCGTGCACTGCTCGGTGCATGTTTGTGCCGTAAATATCCAGCCCGGCTTTGCTGGCCGCAATAAGCCACATATCTCCATGCTATAATCGACACGCCAGTCGTTCCAACGCAGCTGGTGGGATGGGTGCAGCCTCCTCGCCTCATGGCCATCCCGCTGGCACCGAACTTCGACACTCACTACATACGCCAGCTCTTTGAGAACGTTCGAAAGTAAACAAGATGGATGCCGGCACTACGGTACAAAGCCAATCACTATGGGCTACGTTGCATGTAACGAATGTGTGTATTCTGTGCCAGGGCTGACATCGATGCACACGCTGTGGATGCGTGAGCACAACCGCGTGGCGCGCGGGCTGGCCCGTATGAACCCGCTCTGGGGCGACGACCGGCTCTTCCACGAGGCCAGGAAGGTGGTGGGGGCTATGGTGCAGGTCATCACCTACAACGAGTGGCTGCCTGTCGTGCTGGGTGAGTCTGAGAGAATGAGGAATTTGGACCTGCCGGATAGTGGTGCTTGTCTCATTGCTGCTTTGTCTAATGTTGTATCAGTAAGTGTTATGTTTAGCTTTTTGGCATCGTGCTAGGTAGTTTACGACATATACGTGCTGTCACAGGAGCGTTTTTACCCTTCTGTGTTCCATCGTTTATCCGTCAAGTTCATGAGGAACCATAACTAAAGCTCTCCACTAAAGCATGACGCCAGTTTTGCTTCACTGCTTTTGTGGGCTTAATGCGTCCGTTATACCACAGGGCGTTCCGTCATCAAGATATTTGACGTGACCCTGCAAAAGTACGGCTACTTCTATGGCTACAACAGTTCGGTGAACCCGACCATCGCCAACTCGTTTGGTTCGGCCGCCTTCCGCTTCGGCCACTCGCTGGTCAACAGCAAGCTCGACCGGTGTGACAAGTTCGGCAACTCCGTCAAATTCGGTAATCATCTCGGCGAACTCGGGGCAGTTTCATCTGTTGACCTACGACGAGACATTGACAGTAACACCAAAGGACATCCCAGATCGTACAGCACAGTGACATACCATTGAGATTTCGCGACCGGCCCGCTTTACCACAACACATCTGGTGAGACACTCGGTGGCTAGGCCATGGATCTCGAGCGTCACACTTCCGTCTATGGTGCACTGGCGGACGGCGGTCACCCGCGCCCTGCGGCGCCCCGCGTGGGCCAGCGTCCGGTCTGAGCCGTCTGTAACGTCACCGCCCGGCCGGCAGACATCTCGCTGC